GGCCTGTTTGAAATGAATAAAACTAAAAAAAAAAGACCGTACCTTTATTAGTGTAGATGTTTACTTTGAATTTATATTAGTTCACACAAACACTCCATCCATGCTTTTGTTCCGGCCCTCCGGTCCAGTTTAAGAACCCATTGTGGCCCTCGAGTCAAAAAGTTTGCCCACCCCTGAGCTAAGATGTCCTTTCATAGGTGAATGGATAAACTGTGGCACATCTATACAATGGAATATTACTCAGCACTGAAAAGAAATGAGCCATCAAGCCAGGAGAAGTCATGGAGGAACCTTAAGTGCATATGACTAAGCTAAGGAAGCCAGTCTGGGAAGACTACACACTGTTTGATTCCAGCTATATGACATTCTGGAAAAGACTAAACTATGGAGACAGTAAAAAAGGTCAGTGGTTGCCAGGGGTTGGGGGAGGGAGGTTGACTAGGTGGGACACAGAGGATTTGGGGGGCAATGAAACTAGTCTGTATGATACTATAATGGTGGACACATGTCATTATACATTTGTACATGCAGAGCGTGAACCCTGATGTAAACTATGGACGTTAGTTAATAATAATATATGGGTTCATCAATTGTAATAAATTGAACAAGATTTTTTCATAATGGGAAATTTGGGGTGGAGAGAGGCTTGTGAGGACTGTATTTTTGCTCAATCCTATATAATAAAAGGGTAATATGCAAATAGACCAAACAGCGGAACAACCGAACCACCAATTAAAGCGTAATATGCTAATGATATGCTAAGGCTGCTCAACCACTCGCTATGATGTGCACTGACGACCAGGGGGCAGACAGTCAGCTGGTCGACCAGTCGCTATAATGTGCACTGACCATATGCTCCAACCGGTATGTTAGCTTGCTGCTGGGGTCTGGCCTATTGGGACTGAGTGAGATGGGCCAGACACACCTTGGAGTCTGGTGGGGTCCCTCAGCCTGGCCTGTGCCCTCTCGCAATCTGGGACCCCTCGGGGGATGTTGGAGAGCTGGTTTCAGCCCAATCCCTCAGGCCACTCCCCTTGGGAGGGCGCCAGACGCAGGGCTCATGGCTGGTGAGCACTGCTGTGGCAGCGCGAGCCTCTCACAATCGGGACTGGGGTTTACTTTGCCACCACAAACAGAGCATCTGCGACGACATCTAGCATCTGCTTCAGAATAATTCAGGGCGGGGAGTGGGTGGGTGAAGATGAAACAGGATGGCCATGTGCTGATCATGACTGAACCTGGGCAACCGGAACAACATGGTCATTGTTCTCTGTACTTTTATGTAAATTTGAATTAAAAAGTAGAAAAATAAATCATCAAGGCAGCCTCAACTTTGCATTGGGGCCACACGCCTTTTGGACATCTTAGCTGCCAGGATGAATGGGAGCAGCAGGTAGGAGCTGCAGGCAGCATTGGACTGCAGATTTCATCTCAATGCCTGCAGGCCACCCAGAGGGACCCCCACCCCCCCCACCCCCCCGTGCACGAATTCATGCACCGGGCCTCTAGTTTTTCTATAAACCTAAAACCACTCTAAAAAAATGGATATGGGTCAGGGAGGGGTATTCTGTCTAGGCAGTACATGGCATAAATCAGGGAAGGTGATGTCCCATAGACACATACCCCTTTCCCACAAACTTCTAAATCACGTTTGATTTGGGGAAGGGGGGGAGGCCGGCTGGTTAGATTAGCAGTAATCTAACAGTATCTTTAAAATTTGCCTTTTATTTAATTGTTAAACGGATAAGTAAACTGTACTCAGTTTGAAAACTGGACGCTGATTTTTTTTTTTTTTTTTTTTTTTGTAGTAAAGGTGGAAATTTATTCAAGAACAAGTACAGACTCCCACGTAGGGAGGGGGAAAGAGTCCCCTGGACGCTGATTTTTAAGACTGTCTCTGGCTCGCATTCTTCATCCAATGTCCTATTTTAAATTCTTCATCATCTTTCAGGCACTCTGGAAAAGCTTTCTGCTTTTCCCTGCAGCAAAGGTCTGGGGTTTACTTTGCCACCACAAACAGTATCTGCAACGACATCTAGCATCTGCTTCAGAATAATTCGGGGCGGGGAGTGGGTGGGTGAAGATGAAACAGGATGGCCGTGTGCTGATCATGACTGAACCTGGGCAACCGGAACAACACGGTCATTGTTCTCTGTACTTTTATGTAAATTTGAATTAAAAAGTAGAAAAATAAATCATCAAGGCAGCCTCAACTTTGCATTGAGGCCAAACGCCTTTCGGAATAAACCAAGCCCACGGGTTGATATTCTAGGGGCTATGTGTGGTCAAAAAAAAAAAAAAAATTCCAGACCTAAAATTCTCCAATTGAGTATATAGCCATTACAGTTGGATGCATGAGGAAAATTCCAGAAAGCAGGTCCTTTCTTCTGCACTTACCGGTCCCTCTGCAAAGAAAGGGCCACTGCTGTATGGAGTACAAATGCCTACTTGCCCCCCACCCCCCACCCCAGTCCCCACCTGGACAGTGGGTACAGTGAAGGCCAGGGAGCCTAAATCCACATTTGAGCCCCATCCTTGCTGTGTACCACCCTGGACAAGCTACTAAACTCAGAACCTCAGTTTGCTCACCTGTCAAATGGGAGACCATTTACCTCAGATGTCTGAGGCTTCCAGGAGATAAAATACCCAGGATGCCAGACCAGAGGGTGGTTGTGGCTAACAGTAATCTGACTCATTAACAGTTAAGATTTTTGAGAACAGACAAAAGTGTGAAAAAAGCCTTGATCAGTGATGTCAGACATGCTCTTCCCCATTGTTTAAAGTGAGGAGGGTGCTACTATTTATTTCTTCAGCCCTGACACCCACTTGGAGTCAGGTGGCTCTACTGCTAGCAGCAGTATGCCACTGTGAAGATGTGGGCAGAAGGGGACTTCCAGTGTGAGAGGAAGACAGCTAGGATGACATCTGTCTCCTTCAGCCATTCTCCATCTGCCAGCTTCCCGCGTGCCCTGGAGCTTGTTAGGAATGCAGGACCGGCGGCCCCACCCCAGACCTCCTGAGCCCAAATCTTCATCTTAACAAGACCCTAGGTCAGTGGTTAGCAAACTCATTAGTCAACAGAGCCAAATATCAACAGTACTTCTTCAAAATAGACTTGCCCAGGCCAAAAACCGACTTCTGCGCATGGGCCGCGAAATTTCAATTGCACTGTACGTGCACGCCCGCACGTGGTATTTTGTGGAAGAGCCACACTCAAGGGGCCAAAGAGCCACATGTTGCTCACGAGCCGCAGTTTGCCAACCACGGCCATAGGTGATTCCTATGCTCATTAAAATTGATGAATCTTCCTCGGTTCCCTTTTCAAGATAAACCAGCTCCAGGAACAAAGCAGAAAGGGATGGAAGGATCCCATGCCTGAAAAAGCAGAGACCCCTGCAAGCCTTCAGAAACCCCATGCTCCAAGGATGAAGCACCTGGGTGGAATCTGACTTTTCTTCTCTAGAATGCTCCACAAGCAATGCTAGCACCATCATCCTTCAGACTCTGGCTTCCCTGTTTCAAACAATAGCACATTCTCCTCCTCCCCCAAAATCTGAGCTGGAGACTGCCAAGTTTTCAGACTGTTGGGATGCCTGAGTAGATGCTGATTGCTAAGTCCTCACAGCTTTGATTCAAAGGTCAGCACAACAGAGGTTTGAGTGTGGAAGTGAGTAAAAGAACAGACTTCCCTCTGGTGACCACTGTATTCCCTCTTGTTTCTGTTCTTTATTTCTTTTTAAAGAGACATCCCAACCTTAGAGGCTAAATATGCTCAGGCTGCAAAATGAAAGTGAACCCCAGGGACAAGTCAGTGGGCCCCTGGTCACGTGGCCCAGGCTGGACCCTGTGTGGAACCCTATATCCTCTGCCCAGAGCACCCGGTGATCCCCACCCAGGCCACACCCTCCTGCTGCTGCTGGACTCAGGGACCAGATTCCTTAGCTAAAGACCAAGAGTTTTTGAGTACATGCTCAGAGTAGCACCATTTACAGTCACTAAAAGGTAGAAACAGCCCAAATGCTCATCAACAGGTTAGTGGATGAACAAACTGTAGCACATCCATACCATGGTATATTATGCTATACTAGTGGCCCGGTGCATGAAATTCGTGCACAGAGGTGGGGGGAGGGTGTCCCTCAGCCTGGGCTGCACCCTCTCCAATCTGGGATATCCCTCTTGCAATCCAGGACCGCTGGCTCCTAACCGCTCACCTGCCTGCCTGCCTGATCACCCCTAACCACTCTGCCTGCTGGCTGGATCGCCCCCAACTGCCCCCACTTCC